GGGGGGGAGAGAAGTGCAGCAATGAATGGATGGAAACCCAAAATCTCTGTAAATGTTCATTAAAATTATTAAAATAAAAATGAAAAAAAAAATCTTGAGTCACAGTGGAAGTAATCCCTTCTTCCTTTGGACTCCTGTATCAATTTTATGTTGACACCTTACATGCCATTTGCCACATCCTTTCTTCTATTAGAATATTTTGTATACTCCCCTATATCTTCTAGGAAGGCTCCCTGATGGTACAAACTTCGCATTCTGCTACTAATCAAAAAATTTGGTCAATCCAAACCCACTCATCAGTTCTGTGGAGTTCTGGTGATTTGCTTCTGAAAAGATTACAGCCACAAAGCCCGGGGTGGGGGGGCTGTGTAGTATTGGGGGTGGGGAGAGCTTCCATTTTGTCATATAGGGTCACTGAAAGTCAAAATGGACTCAATGCACCTAACAACAAAACATCCTCACTTTACTGAACTGTTCTTGATAGCAAAGCCTCTTTCTTTTTATTTTCATGATACAATAAGTGCATAATCTCAGTGCTATGGTGGTCAGCTTATTGAATGGATAAACATGAGTTTCTCAAACAAACACAAAAACCCTCTTAAACTCATTCACACTGAGTTGGGACTGACTCATACCCGACCCTCCAGTGGTTTTTCTGAGGCACAGGAAATGATTTGGTCATCTTTTTCCCTCTCAGCTACTAGTAGATTGAAATCAGCAGAGGGATAGCTTTTGGGTTAGCAGTGCAGCAGCTCCGTAAGTACCACCATGCTCCCTTTTGACTATCTCACACCGTTAAATACTGAGGCTACGTAACAATCAGAGATGCTGAGAAGGGCTAAGTTCCCTTGTGGTATAGTCATCATGTAGTGGGTTATGTTTTTTTTAATTGAAAAATGATACTTTTTTAGGTGTCCAATTGGTTTGCTAATGCAAGACGCCGGCTTAAGAATACCGTTCGGCAGCCAGATTTAAGCTGGGCTTTAAGAATAAAATTATACAACAAGTACGTCCAAGGAAATGCTGAGCGGCTTAGCGTGAGCAGCGATGATTCATGTTCAGAAGGTTCGTTAACATCTTGACTAAAATATTCTTTGCTTTAAGTCTGTGACAAGAAGTTCACCTCAATTGCTATTTTTAAGTTGAAGCCCACAAAATGTGATGGTGCTGTAACGGTTCCTTTTTATTGCATGAAGTAACTTCACTTTTCCAGTACTCTAAATGACCAATAGAATTATGGCCTTTTCTTCTTGTTTACAGATTTAGCATGTGTCAGCATAGCAGTTGCTGTAAAATTCATTAAAATTAAACTACCATGCAGAGAAAGCACATACAAATCCTGCTTTCTCTTCCCTAAAAAGCAATCCTGAGTAGCAAAGATAATTTTCTACACTTTAAATATTTTCTCTTTATGTCTCTTTAATGACTCAACATAACAGTTGTACAGTTGATCAAAAAGTATGTCTCAGTGCTGTTGTTGGTAATGTGCTATCGAGTCAGAATAAACTCATGACTGACCCTCTAGAGGGTTTTCAGCAGCTATAAATCTCACGGGATTTTCTATCTTTTCTCCATCAGAGGTAGCTGGTGGATTTGAACCACCTGCCTTTGGGTTGGCAACTCAACTTTATACCTGCTCAGCCACCAAAGCTCTCTGTCTCAGTACTACTCAGTGCTATTTCTCTCTTTCAGATGGAGAAAATCCCCCAAGGAACCTTGTGAATGAAGGGGCCTATAACAAGCCAGTCCACCATCCTGTGATGAAAAGTGAGAGCTCCGTGATCAAGACTGGAGTGAGACCAGGGTCAAGTGCAAGTGAGGACTATGTGTCACCCCCGAAATATAAGAGCAGCTTGTTGAACCGCTACCTTAATGACTCTTTAAGGCACGTCATGGCCACCAATGCTGCCATGATGGGGAAAACAAGGCAAAGGAACCATTCGGGGTCATTTAGTTCCAATGAATTTGAGGAAGAATTGGTGTCTCCATCATCATCAGAAACTGAAGGCAACTTTGTCTATCGCATGGGTAAGTCTGTGTTTTTTATGTTCATTATGGTGATAACGTGGCTAAAACAGAATTGAAGTTGCAGCAGAAGGATAATCTTGCAGGTTGAAAGAGAAAGTTATTAGTTTTTGCATCAGGTTGTTCATAAATTGGCCATAATTCAGTTGTAAAAGTTTTCCTTTGTTTTCAGTGACCAGTGAGTGTATTGGATAATGATGGTTTTCATAGACACAAAGATTTTCATTGCTTATAGTCTTCTGTACGTTTTCACTCTTGAAAATCACTCTTTCTTGATTGTTATTGTTGTGTACCGTCGAGTTGGAACTGACCCATAGCTGACCATCCAGTGGGTTTTCAGATGCAGTTAATTGCACAGGAGGAGATTGCCCGTCCTTCTATCATGGAGCAGCTGGTGGCCTCAAACTGCATGCCTTTGTGATTGCAGTGCAGCTTCTTGTCACTAGGCCACCAGAGCTCCTTGATAATCTGTCTTCATCTTCGTTATAAAGGTTCCTGGGTAAGGTCTATACAGGTATAGCTGGTTTTACTGTCCTTTCTTTACTTGACTTTGCAGATACAGCAATTTTATAAATTGACTGTTTCTAGTAATTCTTCGTCAAACAAGTCTTTTAGTATCATTTGGTCAATAGCATGTGGCTACTTTGTGTCTCTGTGTTATATTTTGGTAACTCTCAAAATCCCAAACTTCTCCATTATATTATTACACACTTAATAGACTCCAATGTAGTGCAAACGTAATTTTTCTAGGTTCTGGGAAAGCAAAAAATTTCAGCTACTCTCTTTTTTTTAGTGTGTGTGTGTGTGTGTGTGTGTGTGTGTGTGTACCATCAAATCAGATCTGACGGTACAGGAGGAAATTGCCCCTCCTTCTCCAGCAGAGCATCTGGTGGATTCAAACCATGTACCTCTGGGATTGCAGTGCATTTAGCTACTCTCTTGTGATACTGGATTTATTACATTGACTTGGAACTGAATCTACCATATCTCTTAATGCTTGCCTGCACTGGCTTTTATAAACATATTATTATGGAAAAATATTCTGGAGGATAGCCAGTTGTGCAAGTACTTTGTATTTCATATTTATTTTTAAATTCTTTGATTGATAATACAAATAGGAAACTCACACTCTTCATTCATTGCCATCCAGTTGTAACCTACTCATAACTGACCCTCTGGTGGGTTTTCTGTAGCCCACTGGAGTCTGTAAATCACACAAGAAGAGATTACCCGTCTTTCTCCCTGGGAACAGCTGGTGGGTGCTAACTGCCAGAGAGGCCTTATCTTTGCATTACCAGTACAATTCTTCCTACAGACGATGCCACCTAATCTCTCAACTGACAGGGGGGTGGGGGTGGGGGTGGGGGAGAACCCTCATTAGTATGGCTTTCAGGAAGGAACAGAATAGGTCTGGTTTAACATAGCTTCGGAAATCTCACTTGCATTCATGGAAAGCGCAAGTAAGACTGATGGATAGCTTTGAACATTTGATCTTCCTACCTCCTCATGCTTGGGAGGGTGGAGGGACAGTGCAAGAGAGGAAGACCCTCAATGAGATGGACTGACTCAGTGACTAGGATAATAGGGTAGGTGTGTCAGAGACAATAAGGTTGGCTCATGATAGAGCAGGGTTCAGAGCTTTTGTACATAGAGTTGCTATGAGTTGCAAGCAACTCGATGAAACACAACAACAACAGCCTCCTCAAAACTTTTAGTTGCAGGCTTAGTAACATTTTCAATCTTGACTTTGGTTCCTTGGGAACTTGGTTTTAAAGGGTTTTGAGACATGTTCTTTAGGAATGAGGGGTCTGGCTTTCAAAATGTCAACAAGATTGAGAATTTCATACGTAAGGAAATCCAGACCTAGAACACATAGGTAGACATGATAGTCCATACCAGTAGTGTAATTGAACCTACTCAAGAGGCAGAAGGACCATCATGACTATTAGAATATTACCCTTATTGTGACATCTGGGCCAGGGAGCTCTGGGTCACAGTCTGAAGAAAGCTGCACTGTTAACCCAAAAGCTAACACTTCTGGTGGTTCAAATCTACCAGCTGTTCCTCTGGACATAGATGGGCAATCTCTTCTTGTGTGATTTATAGTCTTGGAAACCCAGTGCAGAGTCAGCAATGAGTTGGTTCAGACTTGAAGTCAAGAGAAAGAAAACAAATATGCCACCAGTTATTTGTTGCACAGTCTTGATGTGCTGGAACCAAGGCTAAATACTGCACAACTGTGAGTACATTTAGGCCTCATAAAATGGAGGAACTTGATATTTAAATAGTATGGCTTTGGAAAGGAATCTCAATTTGGCCTGTTTAATACAGTCTTCAGATGACTTAGCTAGGAATTGGATTTTCAAGTGTCTTCAAAGTATATATAAGATCTATGAAAATTCAGGGAGGAGGGGAATAACCCCAAAACAATTCCAACTTTTAAAATAATTGAAACCAATTACATTGTCTCTTTATATTCCCGACTCTGATGATAAATTTAAAAGCCTCAAACTCTCAGAAACAGTCTTCTAAGTAATAATTGGGTCTAGAAAAAAGCAAAAGACACATTATTGATGTCTATTTAAGAAGCAATGGAAATCCTACATTCTGTGAAATCTCAGTGATCTAACTTGGAGTTAACATTAGTAATGTTCATTTTTCAGGTAAAGGAAAAGAAATCAAGTCGTTCAAGTATCAATAACTAGGGGTAAAAAGATAAAAGGTAAAGTAAAGTGGAAATCTGGAAAGTAGATAAGTATGTTAAGAGTTGACCCTTGGAAAGCAAAAATAGAATAAATAGACTAAAGTTGTAAATGAGAGAAAATAGATACCAACCAATATATAATTAGTAAAGAATTCTTTTAATATTATGATGTAGTAGGTACAGATGTTTAACAACATATATTAATGTGTAACTGAAATAAATTTGCATTATCAATAAAAATTGAGTCATAAAGTCATAACTAGGAAAGTTTCAAAAGACTCATAATTCAGGAAAATGAATAACTTTATAGTTAATCAAATCTACACTCAAACTAACTGCTGTCAAATCCATTCCAGATCCTTAAGGCCACTCAGGTTTCTGAAGCTGCAAGTCTTTATGGGAGGAGACTGCTGCTAGTGGATTTGAACTATTGACCATTCTGTTAGCATCCTAACTAGTTAACTAGTTCCCCCAAAATATAATTTGATCAACAGAGCTAATATTAAGGTGAGGTTCCCCCCTCAGACTTTAAAAAATAATTATTCTTGTGTTCATAAATATTTCTGGATCATGTAAGAATATAAGAAATATTTATTTTTATAAAATGCAATTCTAATCCAGATTAACATAAAAAATCAAACATTTACTTATTATATTGGTACTGTGGGTTAACATGCAACATATTGATAGTATAGTCTTAAGTGGAAAACAGTTAAAAACTATAGAAAGACTGAATAAAATTATAACAGTACAAATGTGTGGACAAAAACAAGAAAGTTTTTGGGAGGCAAAATGAAATGAATTTTGATGCTTGGGGTAATTGGAGACCTTCTATTTAAAAGAAAAAGATTTGTCCATTTCTTTACATTGCCCAGAAAAAAACAAGGTCTAGGGCACTGAGTTTTCTGAAAATTCCCCCTTCAGAGGTAACAAATGCAAAGTCTGAGAGGGAACAGTGTGCTGTGGAGTTGATCCTTTCAAAGTTAAATATCTTGGCCGTTTATTTTGATGAAAGCATTCCAAATGCACTTGGTCTGTATTATGGATTATCTCTTTGCCAGGTTTTTATTTTTAAAGAAAAATATTTTCTTTTTAAAAATATTTTTCTTTTTAAAGTTATGCAAAAAATGAAAAAGGTAACGTAGACATGTAAACGTCTGGGTTTTTTCCATGCATGTGTATAAACATTTTAAAAATGGTGGGGTTTTTTGAAGGATAGGGGATTAAAAATGACTGATGGTCTAAGCTTGAATTGCTAAATTGTAGACCAGAACAATAAATGGTTGTCTTCTGTGAAAGTTGAATGACAATATTGCTATATTTGTGGCTGGATTACCACACATGCATAAATAGTAGAACAGAGGATTAAAAGAAATACTTTTTGAGTAACTGGTATAGTTTTCTCTGGCATAATTTATTCTGAATTCTTTCAATTCTTACTGGCTTTAACTTTCTTTCCTCACCTAAATAGAAATCTTCAAAGTTGGCTATTAACAGCCAGCCCCTCCCCAGGGCAGTACTATTAAAATAGTTATAGAGATTTTAACTTGTAAGCTCTTTTTCAGGAATATATCACTCTTGGCTGCAATTTATTGGTTTATCTTTGCTAAGAAAGCATATCCATTTATTCATCTTTTGTAGCACAATTGCTACTTCATTATTCATTTCACTAAAGATAGGGACTGAAAAGGTAAAATGAGAGAGTTGATGTGTAGGATAGTTTTTCTTGAATTTTATTTCTTTTTTCTTAATCTCTAGGAGTTTAGTAAGGGTAAGAGAAGTTTTAATACAATTTCTAGCAATTATACAATTGCTGAATTGTAACATAATAACCCTAATAGAAGTTACTACTAGAAACTATCAAAGTAGATACAAATAGGATTTTACTGATCCTAGATAGATTTTAAGTACTCCTCTGTGGACCTCGGCCTTTGACATACAGTCAAGTGAATAGTGGGCTGTCAGTAGTGATGGCTGAAACATTTCTATCAGTACTGATTATAGCCTTAGAATGGGTACAAACTATTTAGGTCATCAATTCCAAATACACAAGGTAATATAGTCACAAAGTATATCAGAACATTGAGTCATTCTGCATTCTCTATTGAATGTAATCGATGAAATGAAAATTACAGTCCATTTTTGTTATGCTAGATTTTTACTGTTATTGTTAAGTGTCATCAAGTCAGAAGCAAGTCACAGCTGACCCTCCAGAAGGTTTTCAGAGGCTATAAATACCATGGGAGGAGATTGCCCATCTTTTCCCCACAGAGTCACTGGTGGATTCAAACCGCTTGCC